ACTAAAAAATCAGCAGCATCACCTGTCGGGTGTAAACTTCCAAGCACTGAGGTCATTCTGAGCTTGTTCCAGTTTCTCCTTTTCAGAGTCCAAGTCTGTTTTCATTCGTTGAAATAACAAATTCACCGCTGGATCCAGCAATGTTGACCGTAGTTGTATTGAAGACGGGTTTTGAGCTTGTTTCAAATCATGAATTTGGGTCTGTCGACAATAAAGAACAAAATGTTGGCCTTGTTGCCTTCCTGTTGGTAGACAGCACGCTCTATGCAGCCTTAACTTAAAAGAACTTGAGCGATGTTGACAAACAAAAGACAGACACGTTTGACTCTGATAAATAACGGTTCACCTGTTTAAAGTGGTTATGTCACGGTTTTTGCTATCTTTTTCAAAGCTAAAAAATTCTTCACATCAATTGAATTTAAAAATAATGGTCCAGTTTTGTTATTGAAGACACTAGGCACTGAAACTGTTTCCTGTCGTCTGCTGCTAAGAATGGAAAGATGGACATCAATTGAAGCAAAAATCACCACAAAGTTCTTGTAGTTAGTGCTTGCTGGTAAACTTGTTTGATATTTTCTTCTTAACATTACAGGAGCATTTTGTGTATGAGTAAAAGCAATAAGTTATGACTTAAGCACAGAATTGACCTACATTGTAAAACAGCAAAATATTCGTGACATGACCCCTTTAGAGAGAGCGAGCGACAATGAAAAAATTAAAGCCTTTTAGCTTGATTACTAAGCCACATTTGGGTCATTTTCGGAAATAATACATCCCAAAGTAAGCTGTGTAAGGACTTTGGATTGCACCAGAAACGAAACTCAAAGCCTTGTTAAAAGTTGAAGAAACTCTAAGCCTTGTTGGGAGGCAAAATTAATATAGAAATTCCTTTGAGAAGCAAAGTTTTTCCCAACTGTAATTGCAGCAGTGTACCTTTTCTTCTTCTCAGTCTATCGATTTTCTACAGATTTTTATCAGTTTCAATCGGTATGCAAAACATAACAATTTCTGAGGTTATGAGTCACAATCGGAGAAGAGGAATATAAAATAGCATGGTCTGTGAACATGGGAATTAAACAGAAGGGCTGAAGAGGGGGCTGATTGAAACAATCTGCAAATGCTACAATAATTTAGAGAACTTACACAGTCAAGAATCAAGTTTTAGTGAGTCCCATAAAGTAAACTGCATTTTTCAGAAGAAACAGTACCTACATTTTTTGGAGATTTACGTTCAACAGAAAAAATTGTTCAGGCATCAATTTCAGCTAACCATAGTGAAAAGGCAGCAACTGAATAGTAGAAATACATGTAAGGGAAGGGATGTACAGATGGAGTGTCAATTAACATAAATCTTGAAAACCACAACCATTGATTGAAACTGATAGCAATCAAGGAAAATTGATAGTCACAATCCTCAGTTTTGACTTTGATTGATTTCCAGTAACAAGTGATTTATTGCCAATGATTTTTATCGACTATAACAATTTTGATCATGTAACAAAGCCGTGACATGCACATTTTGATGTCAAATGTATAGTATTATAGAGAACACAACAAAATTCTTTATTTCTGTTCAAACAAAACAATAAATTCCTGCTTGGGAGCACTGCACTACACTGCAGAATCGAAGACTTCCGAAAATGACCCAAAAGACCACACGTATCATGCTGGGTGCGGTGGATGCACTGGGCTCCCTTCAATTTTTCTTAGAGTACAGCCTTAATAAGAGAGGAGAGTGTGAGCTCATGTTACCATGGTAGCAAAATTTCTGGATCTCAACAACCTTTCTTCACAGCAACAGCCATTTGCATTGTCAAACAGTGGAAGTGAAGTATGGGCTACTGTTTTGCTCCTGAGTGCAATCATGCACAGGAAAGTCATACACCTCAATTTTTTCATTTTTTTTTCTGCCAGACTAACTTGCAGGACCATAGTTTGTTAAGATCCAGACATTTTGCTACCATGGTAACAGACATGACAACTTCTCCCCTCTACTCCAAAGCCTTCAAACTTTACAGGAAAGCTGCATCTACATACATCTACCAAAACTTTCCACCAGTGACCACAAATATACATGCATCCAAGGTTGAAATGGGAGACGACAATATATATGTATATTTTCTTAACATCTGACAATTAATTAAATGTGCAGTGAAAACCCCCTTTTATGACCAGGCCATGATAATACATGTACACTGTACTGTAAATACCACAACCTGAACTAATGTTGTCAAGTTTTCAGGTTTTGCATGTTTCAGATAAAAAAAGGCTGATTTTTTAGGAAAAAACAATTGGGCTGCTACCACAAGGACATGGTGGTTGTATAAAAGGGGTAGCCATACATAAAGGAGGGTTTTCCTTACTGCACTTGCTCTCAGATACCTACATGTAGCCTGTACTGCAAACGTACTATAATCTAACCTTGGATAGTAGCACCTGGGAAGCAGCACCAAAATCTTTGTTCTGGGCCCCAACGGACTCAACAAATTACCAGAAATACATTTCAAATTCCCCTTCAAACTGACTGGCAAATTGACCATGGTTTTTTTAACAAGCCAATAATGGCGCATACTCAAATCCTGGTACAAACGTGAGGACCCAGAAAAAGGATTTTGGCACTGTTTCAAAGATGGACTTAACCAGAACTTACATTCCATTTTTGGCACAAGCTATCAACCACAATAACCATAAAAACGGAGAAAAGGAATAGTTACATATACCAGCAAGCCTCCCTCAAACACACAAATCAGCAACATGTAAAGTGTATCACACTGTAGCTAAGTGCTGTTTGTACCTTGAAATGAGCAACTATTTTCTAAGAGTCAATAATTCAGCTCCAATCATCATAAGAATTTAAGTCTCTGCGAAAGTTCCAGGACAGTTCTATACTGCTCTCTGGTACTGTAGCTAGGTATCAATATTTTGCCTGTTATCACTGCAGACGATAGTTTCCCTCCCGCACACCACTTGATCTGAGACAGACATTTGATGGCATTGTGCTCAAGCAGTGTCTCTGTTCATTGTATTGATCAGTAAAGCACATCACTGCAGTTATGGCTGTGCAGTTTATTAAGAATGAGGACTTGTTTTCTGTTCTCCTCACCAATAAGTCTTGCATTTCCTGTTCCTTGGTTGCAAGCCTCATCACCAAAACATTCTCACNCTGTTTGTACCTTGAAATGAGCAACTATTTTCTAAGAGTCAATAATTCAGCTCCAATCATCATAAGAATTTAAGTCTCTGCGAAAGTTCCAGGACAGTTCTATACTGCTCTCTGGTACTGTAGCTAGGTATCAATATTTTGCCTGTTATCACTGCAGACGATAGTTTCCCTCCCGCACACCACTTGATCTGAGACAGACATTTGATGGCATTGTGCTCAAGCAGTGTCTCTGTTCATTGTATTGATCAGTAAAGCACATCACTGCAGTTATGGCTGTGCAGTTTATTAAGAATGAGGACTTGTTTTCTGTTCTCCTCACCAATAAGTCTTGCATTTCCTGTTCCTTGGTTGCAAGCCTCATCACCAAAACATTCTCACGTCTTGTAGATTCCTGCTGCTGCTGTTTCAATTTCTCTCCTGTCTCCATGAGTCCTACCAGCTCTTCTGTGAGTCACAAAACACTTTGATTACTCAGAACAAGACAGTGTGTCATTCATTTCTCACAAAAACATCATTTATTTAAAGAATTCAAAACAATTCTACTAGCCTAACAAAGGTAGAGCTACATGACGCCAAGTTTTGGATACTACACTAATATTCATGATTCCTTAAAGTCATTTCTTCCAAAAAGTGTGGATGGTAATAGTAAATTATATTTTCATAATGCACTAGTGAGAATAGAAGTGAGACACAAGACAGGTCAGGTAACAAATGTGACCCATGGCATGTCATTTTTAATTTCAGTACCCGCAAATTCAACAACAATATTAGTTGAGACACTGCCTTAAAGGGCCTTTCTGACATTTTACTGCCTTCCAAAGGTAAAAAAAAAGCTTTCCCGCCCCCATCCCCTCCATGCACTGTTGTGCCACTGTTCGAGCTACTTGCAGAAAACAACAAACACCCCAGCAGAACTGTAAATGGAGGGAAGGGGGGAGGGGTGTAAATTATTGTTTTGTTCTCTGAGGTAACCCTATTTGAGTACAATGCCTCAAAAATTTTGTTGCCAATTACATGTTGACAGAGCAGCCAAGATTAAGGTGAGAATATTTTAGCTAAAAGCATACAGTCTGTGTATGTGCATGTAAGCAGCTTCAAAGCTACAACTTACTATTCGTTTGCTCTCCATTCTGTTTTTTCTCCAGGTGATCAATGTACTCATTCAACTCCTTTATCCTTTAAACAAAAGTAAGGATTTAAATACATGTACAATACAACTTAAAAGTGATATAAATGGGTATTTACATGTACAATTCACGGGGTTCCCCAAGAAATTAGTTTTAAAGTAGAAGGACAAAAAATTTAAGATGGCAGAATAATACAAAGTTTAGATGGAAAGGTGCAGAGGCAAAGCTGCTTGATGGGATATGTAAGAGAGAGAGAGAGCGGGTTGTGCCCTTCCATTAGGGAAGTCCTGGGGCTAGCTTTCCTGCAGCCTGGGAATGTTTTTATCTCCAGAGCACTGGAAAGTGCATTTTAGTGTATTTCGAACAACTTTATAGGGAAAGAACTTTAGCCACCAAGACAGAACCTTATTTAACCACATATGCTTTTCTTATACATGTAAATTTAAATCAAGGCCCTGCAATTTCAGATGCTTTGTTTAAAATCCCTTATCACAGGGCAAATTTATTGTTGCTTAGATATCTCAGTTAACTGAAAATGATCTTGCACCTAAATTCTTATAAACAAGGTTACAATGTGCATATAATTATACATTCCTATACATAAGTGTATAGGAATGTATAATTATATGCACATGTAGGGAGACAGGATAAAGGGATGACTACACTTTGAGCAATTCCACCAGGTTAAATTTTAACTCTTACTAAATCCTATACCAAAATGCAGAATGTTTGAGATGAAGCCACCAAAAAGGTGAGTACATTTTCTATCACTGACGTTATTGTACTTAGGAAAAAGAGTGCAAATGAACTTAATTTGTTAAAAAAGTACCAAACATAGTTTTCTTGTAAAAATCAAATCAAATCAAAGGTCAAAATAATTGTCATGTTTTTTAATCTTTGTGGTACAATAACAAATACTTTGACCAATTTTTGTAATAAAATAATTCACTGAGATCAACAGTGGCAAATGCTAGGATATATTTCAATGGAACTAGACCATGGCCAACTACAACTCAATTTATTGTGTGCTTGTAGATTTGACCGCTACTACTCATTATCAGTACCAGTAGATATTGTTATTACACTGCATGGCATCACCTCAGTCAAATGAAAAACAGTGAAAGTTTCGCTTTACAAAGAGGGAGGTATACCATGAAACCATTTCAGAATCTACATGTAGAGTTTTCATTCTCCTTTTGGTTTTGCCTAAACATTGTGATTGAAAATTTGACTTGTTTATGGTTTCATTCAACACTGAAATGGCACTAATTCCATCAATATTACACCCATGAGGATGAAAANTTACACTGCATGGCATCACCTCAGTCAAATGAAAAACAGTGAAAGTTTCGCTTTACAAAGAGGGAGGTATACCATGAAACCATTTCAGAATCTACATGTAGAGTTTTCATTCTCCTTTTGGTTTTGCCTAAACATTGTGATTGAAAATTTGACTTGTTTATGGTTTCATTCAACACTGAAATGGCACTAATTCCATCAATATTACACCCATGAGGATGAAAACCGTTGCTTTAACCCAAAATGGTCTCGTTCTTTATGTACTTTGACAACCATTCTCACAGTGACAATGGACTTTACAAGAGAGGTTGGAGGGGGGGTTGTCACAATTGTCAAAATTCTTGAGAGGTTTGAAGATCAACTTCAACTCTATTCTTCACAATGTTTAGGGCATTACTTAGTATTAAAAATGGAAAATCTAAGGGGGTGGGGGTGATGGGGTCCTGAGTGAAATTCTCTCTGTGGTGGTATAAAAAGTTAACTTTTGACACCACAAAATGAATGGTTCAAGTTTTAATAACCTACAGTGTTGCTGGGGCTACTCAGCCAAAATCCAGAAAGGAGTTGGAAGGGGATGAAAATGGTTACGAGTTTTACCAAAGTTACATCATTATTGATCTGTAGTTTCGGTAAGACTGTTGTTAGCAACTTCTTGTTTAGTTAGCATGTCCTTTAAGGGGCTCTGCTATGGACAAGACACCTTTGTGTAAATAATGATACTTAAACAAGTAATGACTTTACCCAACAACAACGTTAAAACGCGAGCTTCCTTTGCAATTTGACAAAGGTGTTGATATAAAGTGATCAATCCCAATGAATGACAGCTCTTCAAATACACTCCTGAAAACCTCGTGCACTTCCGATCATGGAAAATCGTTAAATCGGAGGTAACTGTCATGTAGCATCTAACAACACTAAATAAAAGCTTTTTTCAAACGACAGTAGAAAAATATTGACAAGATTCTAGTCGCTGCAAATTCAGCTGTCACGCAAAAAACATTCACCTTTCTAATACTTCCTCCTTGGACAAGCTCTTAAGATCCTCCGATTCCAGTCGTACCTAGGAAGAAATGAATTACATTAGCAAAGTTTTCAAGGGCTCAAATTTGAACCAGTTCCCGTGAAAACAAATGACAAGAAACACGAGACAGTAGACATGCTTACTCGTTTAGGTGCAGGTTCGGTTGTCTCAGCTTCCTCGTCACTTTTTCTTTTGATTGCTACAACAAATGCACAAATAATTGAGCTCAAAGTATAGAGAAACGTTTATGGGTAAATCAGACACTTACCTTCTTCATTTTCCGCCATATTAAACACTAATTTTGAGGTCGTTGATACTTAAGACTCGCGTAACATGACAAAAATCGCCATATGCAAGTGAATTTCACCTGCAAGGCAGAATGGGAAGGATTTGAATCGTCAAATGACTGATCGGGTAGTGGAGGGGATGCAATTAACATGTGTTGATTAACACTCTAACAAACGTGAAATAAAGAAAACTATAAAACTAAAAATTATTCTCGGTGAATTCTCCCTAAGAAATAATTTTATGCGAAACTTTGATGAGGCCATTGATATCAAGGGTTCAATCATTTACGAAGTTAATGTACCTCCCGTGAAAAAGTAATTCGTGGCAACATGAAATCGAGGCCAGCACATGGATTAAGAATCAATATGGCGGCTACAGTCTTCAAAATTAAGATAGAATATGTTTACTGTAATTCAGGGACTTAAATTTAACTTTACACTGTTACCTGATGGTAGACCACAAAGAAGAGCAGGAGCTTGAATTAGAAGCTCTGACTTCCATTTATCCAGAAGAATTTTCACGTAAGAATGCAATAAGCTTATTTTAATTTTAAATTAGACTGATATTTAAATTGTTAAAGTTACTATTAACAATTTCATCCCTGCAGCACTCAATAAAATGTCCGTTCACTCTTTGCAATTGAGTTATACAGTGATGTAGTACCCTCAAACTGGATCAATCTAACCATGACTAGTGTACATACATCATATAATATATACATGTAATTATATATCTTGTAGTAATTATAATTGCATTATTATTCATTCAAAATATTTGCCGTTTTTGATTGGCTTTGATCCCCAGCTAGTTTCAAGGCTAGTCCAAATTTTATCCTAACAGGACCTTATTTAGCACCATGTAGTATACTCCCTTGACTTTGTTGATGCTTAAAGTCCCCTGATCAGGACTCATGCCACAGACAAGTAAATCTACATGTAGTAAATGACCTTCTTTGCCATGAGTACATCTTCATAGCTCAGGGGACAATGGATAGAGCACTGCTCGGTGTTTCTAAGGTCATGGGTTCAAATCCTCTTAAGCCATAATTATACCTGCCAATTCTCACACATTACATGCGAAAGATATCAATCCCATGCATCAACGGCAATTTCTCACACCTGACTAACAAATCAAAGAAACTATTTTTTAGGACATGATTAATAATGAAACCTCTATTCAATTTTCCTTACTTTGTGCCCTAATTTTAGCATACCGGTAATACATGCACGCTATAATTGTCACCTTTTGAATAGCTTCGGAATTGCTCAAGGTCATTGTATCATCTTCAGACATTTTTGGCAATTTTCAGAAGTCTTCAGAAAATCATCAGAAATCTTTGGAAATCGATAGAACGTTTTCGGAAATCCAGGCCATGACAAGAGGAAAATCTCACACATTTAGCTCAGAAAAAGTTGGCAGGTATAATATATTAAGGACTCAAAATTTTTTATCTTGTTCCATGGTCATGACTAGAAAATTTATTGTTATGACATGATGTACAGTGCAATTACTTAGCTCTGGAAAAAGGAGAAAATAGTTATATTCATTTGGAAATTCTTGTGTGATTTATTCTTTAGTAATTGAAAGTGATCCATGTTGTTTTCAAGTGTCAATTGCTTGTGAACCAGACAAACCTGAAGATGAAGATTGTAGAGGTAGTGTTGTTTCATATTACATTCACATTAAAATGATAATAGTTTAGACCATGTCAAGGTTTCTTGCCAGCAGCTGTTTTGAAGTAACGTCTGACTATTAATAACTCATTTTACCCGGGTCCTATAAATATTGTTCTCTAGAGAACGATAAGGGAAAAAAATTCTCAAAAATTATCACTACCAAATTTGGCACACAGGAAGTGGACTGTTTGAGCCATTTGCATGGCCAGTTTCAGCCCCTGACCTTGGATATGCTTGTCACAATAATTTTTTTGGAAATGGTGAAAAAATGACTCGCGATGAGGGAAAAATTTACAGTGGTTTTAGTGATCAAGAAATACTATTGGCAACAAAATTCGACAGTGGATACATTTTACAATAGTTTTTGATACATTTGGATTATCTGATTCTCAATAACTAAAAAAATTGAGGTAAACGATCAGTGAAAATCTTAGTATCTCACTTCGCACAAGAGTGCTGCCAGCCATGTGTTTTTCCAAAGCAATGAAATGCCTCTCAGTTTAGCTTTTTTTTCGAAAAAAACCTGCTTCTTTGCCTGAAATTTATCTTCATTTTGATGTCTCTGAGTTCAAATCTTGAAATTTGTGAGAAAAGTCGCTAAAATTACAGTTTTTGTCACATCGCTCGGTAATAGACCTTTTTGCCTGTGACAAGAGGAGCCCGCAACCCTAATCTCCAGTTTGTTATAATTACACATGCATCGCATGTATGTAGCCAGCATTTGTTTGGACTTCCACTAAAAATGAATGGAATGCACAGAACACAGTTTGATCATGCGCTTTTGAAGCTTCAGTCACTCGTAATCTGATCATGCCTGTTTTGACCATCTCTAATGAGAAACCTACATGAAGCACTCACTGCACTGGAGCAAAAGCTTTTGACTTTTGACCTTAGATCGTTGTCACCGGCCCGCACTCCATAACCTTTGGTTATTAAGACTAGTTAGCTTGTAAGTTTTGTTTCCCCATTTCGGACCACGTGATGGTACCCCAGAGAACTGTTTCTTTCAAAATTTCATGTCATCCTATGCACGTGCATCCTTAGTGTATATGTATATGTTGTAGTTAATTTTTTATCTCAGGTAATTTTTAGTTTTCGTTTTGTTTGTGGGTATGGTAATGTACATGTATGCTAACAAAGTTGAAACAAAGGAAAAATAAAAATTACCTCAGTTAAAAAATTAATTACAACATATACACGATTAATGAAAAGATGAAAGAGAATATCATGTGGTCTCAGTGAATTGGGAAAACAAAACATACACTAGCTGGGTATCAGACGAGTCTGTTGGTGTTATCCCATCTTCAACGTACTTCCAATATGCTACTCTTAGTTTCTTTTGAACTAGGTGCTTAATAATTAAGACAGATAAGTGTAAAGTTAATCAGAAATACTAGTACAAAAGGCAGGGTTGAATAAAGCATAACTCAGATGCAAAAGTTATGGCTATTTATTTTTAAGCAAAGTTTTTGAGGTTTTTATTCAAATCATCATATAACTTATGCCTTTTTCCCTCTAAACTCTTCAAGTGACCTACTTACTAATAAATATTTAATTTGAGTTATTCAAATGAAACTCTTTTCTTTTACTTAGGGATTATTCATGTTGAAATACAATTGCTGGCACTAAAGTACAACATGCATGATTGAAATACCATTATAAGCTAAACAGAATGCCATTGATTTTAATTTTCACAGTGCATGCTAAATTACAGTTCACCTACGTCAACACGTATCCTGAAGATCCTCCTCTCATTGAAGTACCATCATATGAAGGGATGGATGATTCAGAAGCAGAGAATCTTCGAGAGTTTTTAGACCAAGAGGTGATTACATGTGATTGATTATCAAACAAGACTTGGAGCATATTCTGGAAATCATTTATTATTAGCATGTTCCAGGGGTGCCTGTCATTTGCATGAGGAAAACGTGAAATTCCAGTTGGAAAATCAAATCGATTGCTTCATTCCATTTGGGAAGCTTCAGTAAACATGGCCTAAGATATGCAGTGTAGACTGCGAGCAGTCTCTGTTTTTCTTCAGATTCAGTAAGGGGAGTGTACGCGCGCACGAACATTGAGCATCGTGCGAGAACAAGGGCGGCAGCCCGAGAAGACTCTAACGCTATGCACTGCATAAGCTGCGCCTTTTAAAAAAAGTAATGTAGGAAAACCTCTGTTGTTCAAGCAAACTCTAAGGTTACGTTTCCTGGCCTGTCAACACTTCAGTTTTCATGCCAAAACATCACTAGGCCGTGAAAGACCATTCTCTCTGGCTTTGCGGGTAGTCTCTCTTTTGCCGTGCCTCCTCCTGTCTCGCACCTTCAGTCATGCGCGTGGTCATTTGTGTGTCTCGGGAGTTTTGCTCAATGGACCAAGAAAAAAGAGAGACTGCTTGTAGTCTATTTTCAGTGATGCAATTTTTTTTATCTCTTAGTCTGTTCAGCTGATTTGGATATACTTTGTAGCAGATCATTTTCTCACTTTGTCAAATTTTACAGTTTTATGTTTATGCACAAGATTTCCACCCGGGTGGTTTGTGTAAATGAAGCATCCCAGGTGTGAAATTTGAGTTCAGATAAGGAAGCTTTAAAAGCAAATTCACTTTTTTTCTTTTTGTCTACAATTTATTGATTGGATGCACTTAAAAGAAGAGAAAAAATTATCACAGAAAGTGCTTTTAACAAAAGAAAATAAAACATGGATTAAAATTTAACCCCGCTAATCAGCCTTCGAACAACTGGGCCCTGTGCTCCGCAAGACCATGTGAGTGCATCACTTATGACATAATCAGTTTAACTTCTTATTCCTCTCTCACTGCTAACAGCAAAGCTCTCACATGCACAGCAGAGTACCACCGGTAATAAAATTTGGTTATTTCTATGCATCCAAGAAGTTTTGGTAGTGACATTCAGACAAAATCATCCGTCCATAAGTACTCATGCACCTTCATGTTAGTGGATGTAAAAGGTCACATTAGCTTGGGGTCCAAGTTACACTTTGCACAATGTTTAACTTGATATTGGACATCCATGTTATGGTAAATTGACAGCTGTCAAAAAAGGTATCCACTGACCAGTGTCTCATGACTGTATTGCAGGCTCAGGTGTACAACTCATTGAGGTGATGTGTTTATTTAAAAGTTCTCTGCTGACCAGTTATTGGTTTTCAATTGATTCCAGGCTTAGATCCATTTTTTCAGGGGGAATCCAGTGTGCTTCATGCTTATGGCAAGAGTTTATTACTGAAGAAAGATATTTCTTCCAAGATCCTATGAGAGCTTCGCTTTTGTTCTTGGCTAAATCTACATATTATTTGAAATTGACAAGTATTATCTAATTGCATGTTTTGACTCCTTTTAGGCACAAGAAAATCTTGGAATGGCAATGATATTCACTTTAGTATCAGCTGCAAAAGAAAAGTTAAATGAGTTTGTGGACAAGTTAAAAAATAGAAAAGAAGAGGAAAAATTGAGAAAAGAAAGAGAAGCAGAGGAAGCAGAAAAGAATAAATTTACAGGAACACCAGTTACTCTTGAGACATTCTTGGCATGGAGAAGAGCATTTGAGCAAGAAACATTACAAAGTGGAAAGAATAAAGAACAAAATTTTAAAGGAAAGTTAACAGGTAAAGAAGCTAATTGTGTGTTTTCACATGACGTCATGGCGGCCATATTTGTGTCCCAAAACAATGAAACGGCGGCCATGTTTGTGTCCCAAAACAATGAAATGGCGGCCATGTTTGTATCCCAAACCAGTCCTGTGAAAGTTGAACTCTTTTCTTATGTAAACGCTTTCTTTTGTTCCAAAAAATTTGCATAGATGCTGGCCACGTGAGTGAAAACACATATTAAATACTTACTGCAACTCCTTTCTGTTCACTGATTGAGTTACCTGCAGTATGATTTAATTTACAGTACAGTGAAACCTGTATTAAGCAGACACCGCATTAAGCAGACAGTAGCCGAAGGCCCAAAATTTATCTCCCTTATTTACTTTAAGTGAAACCTTTATTAAGGGGACACCTCTATTAAGCGGACACGGACACCTAAAAAGTACCAAGAATCGTCATTTCTATTGTTACCAAGCTGTATTAAACGGACACTTGTAATCAAATTCCACCACCCAACATGCCAGACACCGGAAATGCGAAAGATTGCCGAGAATTTCCACCCACAACTTTTTCGATTTTTACTTTAAAAAACGTGACTTGACGAACTTATTTGATTGGTTTCACTGTACAGTATTGTTTTCTATTTCGTTTTGTTTGTATAGAGCTTGTTTCACTAATCTGATTTCCTCAAATTTGAGTTGCAATCTATGTTTATGATCAATGGACCACTTTGACAAAGAAATTAATGCAAACGTATATCGTCAAAGTCTCTGGGAGTATTCTTAACATTTCCACTGTTCATTTGAATGGCATTTGACACCTCATATGACATTTTCTATCGAAACCTGTATTAGGTGGACACCCCTGTATTAAGCGGACACTACAGCATTCCCTGGAGGTGTCCGTTTAATACAGGTTTCACTGTATACTCTCATAACAGACACCTCTAAAAGAAGGACGCCTCAATAAAATGGATACCCAGAGTTTGTCTCTTTACTTCACTCTCTTTAAGATGACCATTACTCTTAAACAGACACTTAGAGCCTGTCCCAAAGGTGTCCAACCTAGAGAGAGTTGTCTGTACTCTTACATTATTTTTAAGCGTAAGGTTTCTAATTCTTAATTTTCTTGGCACGTTTTCTTCATAAANTGAGTTGCAATCTATGTTTATGATCAATGGACCACTTTGACAAAGAAATTAATGCAAACGTATATCGTCAAAGTCTCTGGGAGTATTCTTAACATTTCCACTGTTCATTTGAATGGCATTTGACACCTCATATGACATTATCTATCGAAACCTGTATTAGGTGGACACCCCTGTATTAAGCGGACACTACAGCATTCCCTGGAGGTGTCCGTTTAATACAGGTTTCACTGTATACTCTCATAACAGACACCTCTAAAAGAAGGACGCCTCAATAAAATGGATACCCAGAGTTTGTCTCTTTACTTCACTCTCTTTAAGATGACCATTACTCTTAAACAGACACTTAGAGCCTGTCCCAAAGGTGTCCAACCTAGAGAGAGTTGTCTGTACTCTTACATTATTTTTAAGCGTAAGGTTTCTAATTCTTAATTTTCTTGGCACGTTTTCTTCATAAAGAGCAGGGAGTGGAACTTTTTTTTCTCCTCCCTGCGTTTTCAGAGACACGGCCAGTTGCAAGAAAGGGTGTTAAAATGCAAAGCACTATAATTAAATGTCATGGGTTAAAGTATTTAATCAAGAGGAGTCTCCATTTTGGAACACCTACGAGGCCTTATTACCAGTAAAGAAAATTAGTGGTCCTTTGCGTTTTTATTTGTTTTATTTATTTAATGTTTTCCAAGTACTTGCTCTCCATCTGTATGATGATTTTTAGCAAGAGGTCAGCGGCCTCACTAAATGTAATTTCTGACGGTTGAGTGACTAGGAACGAATTAGTCAGAAATTGCTATTCTGATGGCACGATTGAGAGGTTTTAGTAATCTCAGGGGAGAGTTTTGAGTATTTAATGTCTTAGCGGGGAATATTAATCATTCTAGCTCAGTCAGTCTTTCTGTTTGCTGTTGTCAATTTAGTTGAATTTTTTCTATGGAGTTATTCGTTTGTTTGTACCTCTTCCCCGAGGTTCCGTGCCATTGCATTAGATGGGGAATACGTTTCCACATATTTTTTGGCCACATCTAAAGAGTGGTTTTTCGTATCTGGCGTGGTACACTTAATTTTTCAAGCTTTTCAAATTAGACTTGCTAGCATATTCTATGTTGTAATAAGTATATGTTACGACACATTGTTGTTGTCGGATGACTGACTGACCATTCCTCAATAAACTATCTCACATTGAATGTTTCGTGATAGTGTAGTCAGAATTGGTAATAACTAATAACAAGAATAAAATAGAATGAAACAGAGGTACATATAATTATTGTTTTTTTTGGTGAGAATGTTAAGTCAATGTTGTCTTCATTGTCATTTTTGGTACAGGCTTTCATACTTTATTATTAATGCTTAGCCAACATATAATAATGAAATTGAAATATTTGTTCACTGTTGTTCTTTGTGTCTAGGTAAACAACTTTTTGAACAAGATTCATCAATGGAAAACTCGGATGCAGCTTTCCTTGAAGGTGAGTAGTGTGTAGCCTGGCAAATTGATCCGTGTATGAAAAAGGGTTGCCACTTTAGAAACGAGAAAGGAAATGGAGCTGAAATGCGTCCAGCAATTGTTTCTGGGATAATTACTGGGGATGTGCCGGTCAGCTGTTGGTCAGTTTTTTCTCCTGTCCTTAGTAATTGTTTGAAGCACCTCTGTGCGCTGGAAGACAGTCACAAAGTTCTGAGCTCCATAGGAGTACTTAAATTTCGAACGAAAAATGTTTGACTTAATTTATCTTCTTTTCTTTTTCATTTGTTCATTTTCTTTGTTTACTTGTGAATTAATTTTAATGTGAGAGCTTCGTATTTTGTTTTTATACAGACACTGCCCACCTAGACTAGCTTTTGTGAGAAAACGAAATTGTAAATTTGCATCAACCAATAAAAAATGAAATGAAATGAACAGTCCCTGAATCGTTCTAGAAGTCTTTGCGAAAGTGAACTCGCCCCAGTTTCCATCTCGTTTGTAAAGTGGGGAATGCATTTGGCTACACTTTAGGGACGGACCACTAGAAAACCTATTGGGGGAGATGGGCGAAGTACAAAAAAAAATTATTCGCTCAAGGGAAAATTCATGCACGCCAGTTAACCCTAAAAAATATCCGTGCTACGGCTTAAAAAAATTCATACATGGAATTTGATGACGAAAAAAATTTCCTGCGACTCAAAAATTCCCCACCCGTTCCCCATAACTTTTCTAATGGTCCGTCCCTAAGCACTAAAAGGCCACTGTCCATGTATTAAAATTCAGCAACAAAAAACAAAAACAAAGAAAATGAATAAACATGAATATACATGGTTTATCATGCTGAATTATATCAAAAGTGGCCTATTGAGGACTGAGGACACTGTGTTAACGTCTCCTACTTGGAGATGGAACCGCCTTTTTACGTGGTCATCCGAGCCACACGAAGGTCTAGCCGTTTGAAGGCCGATGGCCGGCAGTACTTAACCATCATTTCAGCTACTTTTTAAGACCCTAAGTACTGGTCCCACCCCGGGGATCAAACCCACGACCTCCCGCTTTGCAGTCAAGCGCTCTACTATTGCTGGTTTGCACGTGACGTCACGGCGGCCATATTGTTGGTCAAGAACAAAAGCAATTCTCTCTTCTGAGAACTCAACTCTATTTTCATGTAAATTCTTCGAGAAAAACTTCTATTGTATTTACCCCCAACATGGTCGCCTTGGCACGTGGTTGCAAACCAAGAATAATAAACGTGATAACGGTTCAAATTAATATTGATAACAAGATCGGCGGCTTGACCGACAGTTGTTGCTCAAAATACCAAAATCACAAAGTAACTTTTCTAGGACCAGAAGATGTAAATTTGATTGCTTCAATGCACCTGCACTGTGCGCCACTTTTAAATCTAAGAGGTTTTTAGGGTGTAAAATTTTATCTACACTAGCGCTTATTTTCGTCGCAATATCTTCAATAGCGATCTCTTTGGTTTTGCACCACTTACTCCAAGCCTTTCTTTCAACAATTAACTGATCACGATCATTTTCTGACGCCCTACGTCGAATACAAGATATATTATCTTCGAGTTGCGATTTGTCGAGAATCGTCCTGTGATCTTCCACAGCGGTCACCAACATACATCATCAGAGCCAACCATGATGTAGCGGCTAAACATATCATCAGGAATGTAGTAAAAGAAGAATTTTTTTCTTTTAGGTGAAGTGAAAGTAGACGAATCTCTCTTTCAAGAAATGGATGATTTAGACCTCGATGATGAAGATTTAGAATAAAATTACTATTTTTAGAATTCTTTTGTGTGATTTTTCGAAAGATCTCAGAACTGGCTAGTAACCAGGGAGCGAGGGTGGCGCAGTGGTGAGAACACTCGTGTCTCACCAATGTTCATGTCGCCCGGCTTCAAATCCCGGCGTCAACGCTATATGTGGGTGTAGTTTGTTGTTGGTTCTCTGCCTTGCTACGAGAGGTTTTTCTCTGGTTACTTATTTATTTAGTATTGGCAACTTGGAATGGGCGTTGATGTTGGTATATAGAGTGAGGAGGTGTAAAATCTAAAGATATTGCCCCTTCATTTTTAGCAAGAAAACCGAAGGCTAATATACTACGTTTCGACCGTTTCATCAGATAGGTTAACGAACACGTTTACGTCAAACGGCGGGCTCCCGTCTGCCGTTTGTCGACGGTACTTATCGTGGCTTAGCGTATACCTCGGATGAACTGGAAACTTTATTAGCGCTCCATGCCATTCCACTGAGGTTAACATTCATCTTTACAGTGTTAACAGACAGTCTGCGGCTATATGTAATTTGAGAAAATTGGCAACTCGAATCTGACGTTTGCAGGAACAAAAAACTACGTGACTCAAATGCCTGCAGGCTCTTGGTACGATTTTGTTAATTGCAAAGCTAACAGCCGCGAAAAAACAAAACTGTTACGCACGCTATGTACTTCTGGGGTCACTTCTGGCTCATCGTGGTCATGGGTGAAGCTAGGTTTCTTACTGTTTCGGTTAATTCCCTCTATTAATGAATTTTTTTTTAGAAAATGTTGGATTAATTGATCAACGTATTCAAGCAAAAAATTAAGCTAAGTTGAATCTTGCCTACGGGTAGAATTAGCTGCAATGTAATCCCTTGTTTCCTGTTTTCTGCAAAGCTGTGCTTTTCGATCGCCTGTCGATTACAATTATTTGCCATAATTCTGCAAACCAACAGTATGTCCAACTTATTTTTGTTGTTATCTCAACTGTAAATTATCAGAATTAAGCGTTCTCAATATCCCCGTAGCATTTCTGAGCATGTTTTTTACTCTAAAACACTTGTGATATAAGGAAATAGTGGGCTCTGGGAAAGACAAGTCTGTGGCCTATGACGTATTTCCGTCTCCGGTACTTGACCCAACAAAAAAAATCGAGATGTTCGTGCCCAGATTTCTCACGGTTTGAGTTTAGGTTGCGTTCTCCCGACGTCGAATAGACTGCTTGCAGTCCGCCTTTTCTCTTAAAATCCGTCTAGTTCTTATCTCATCCAGCGCGATTGCAAACCACGACGTTATCATTACAATAAGGGATTGAGACGTTCGCTTGGTTAGGTTTCGCGTGCAGTAACTTTGCAAAGAAAAATAAGAGACTGCTCGCAGTCTAGACGTCGAACGCAATTACTATCCTTTGAATGAAGTCAGAGACGTCGAAGCCCAGCTCCCGGTTTTTATAAGAAGAGCATTTTATAAGTTGTCTGGCCAACAAATTTAACAGTATTTAGAGAGGAGGCAGAGGACATACCGTAAATGCTCGAATTAGCGCCCGGGGAGCTTATTTAATTTTCTAAGGCGAGAGGGGGACGCTAATTCGAAGGGGGGCGCTTATTACAAATTTTGAGCCCTAGGAGGGGCGCTAATTCGAAGCAGGGCGCTTATTTGAAGCTGGGCGCTAATTCGAGCATTTACGGTAAGAGGAAATACTGTTGCCTTGTCACTGAAAGTACGCAAATCTTTAGGTTAGTGGAGAAAAAATATCCGACTTGTCTAAGTGAGCTTTTTCCTACCAGATTAACCACGGAGGACAATGTTCTGCTCTTTTTCAAATTTTATTGTTATCTTAACTTCACTCTTATTCTATTTGTTAACGAATATTTTCAGTCTCTTAAACATAACTAGCATTGACAAGCACGTAATTAATACTTATACAGAAGGATTTCCACCAAGAAAATTAAATTTGTAACATGAAAAGTGATTTGTACAAAGATATGTGAATTTGTGCAAAAAATTAAATTTTTAATTGGAGTGCAGTCATCAAGACCCGGCCGATATTTGTCACATCACTACATATTTAATATTTATAAGCAATGTTCAAGAATTTATAAATTAACTCTTGATCTGTCGTCTCATTCCACTGAAATTTCTGCAAAAAAGGGCATCATGAAAGTTAGTTTGCTGTAATTTGACTTGTGTTTCGTGCCCAGAAAATCTAAGGCCGAAAACAGGTGTTCCTCACGGTAACCCAAACCTCTTGTACTAATGACTTGAATTTTTTGCTTTTCCCTCTTTTTTATTCTTTTTATTTATTTTTTTATTTTTTTTGGTTAAATTACTTTATTGACACACATATATTCAAAATACATGTATTGCAAAATTACAACATTAGAAAATAAAGAAAAGCGACTTGAAAGGAAAAACCACCCTTTCCCCCTTTTCTTTTCAAAACCGAGGTCTGTAAGGTTTAGACGCCGAGATACTTCGTTTCCGCCGAAGAGCGGTTCTCGCCTCGCCTCGTCTTAGTTAAGGTTGGCACACACCAGGCAACATGTCACTGCAACAATTCGCGGCGACAAATCATTCCATGTGTACAGGTCGGGCGATAAGTTCCTGCAGAAAGTTGTGCGACACGTCGAAGCGACAAATCGCCTCGTGTGTACTGTACAATCTTTTTGGAAATCTTTGTCTCAACATCAGAATTCGATCGCCGCCATAAGTCGCACAAATGCAGTCTGATTTGATTTTGTGCGACTTGTTGCGGCGACAAGCTTCTGTTGCGGAGACCAAATTTTTCACAGGAAACGATTTGTCGCAGCGACGAGTGGCTGCAACGTGTTGCTGCAACTTGTCGTCCGAATCCACCAATGATTATGTGCACCTTTCATTCTTTCCTTCTTATCCGTTGCACCTTTCTACTGGTCATGTCATTTTTTCGTGCGCACGCACGTAAATTTAATGAACATAAATAAAATAGTGGCGTTTAAATGGATCAAGCCCGACAATAATTGTTTCGTAGCAACCACTCAGACAAAAACAGTGGGTGGGAACGTTATCTTCGCGCTAAAAGATATAGCTTATCTGACTTCATAAAACCAAACATGTTAGTCTGTGCCGGACGATTTCTCAGCATCTCAAGGAAAATCATTAACCCAGAACTTGGGGAAAGGGGGTGGGGCTCAGAGCGAAGTACGGACCCGCAGTCTTTGATTTAAGAGATATAAGGCATTCTTTCAAGCCCCAAACCCCCTTCCAACTTTTTGGCAAAATATAATAAATAAAATAAAAATATCTCGCAGGTTTTTAAATAAAAAGGTTCTTCATTATGTGGTAGATATCTTCAAAGGGATATCACATGTAGCATTTCACATCCTCGCCAACAATCTACACAATCCAGCTTTCAATCCGATAGCCAAGCCGAAAGGCGCTTGAATTGATCAAAACTTATGAGCAAGGAATCGACTTGCTGATATCGGAAAGCGGGAAACTAGCGACAAGATTTTCAGGCTGTTTCTCAAGAAGTGGAAGACACACTGCAATCAGCTTTTCGGCAATTGTATAAAAGTGTTTTTGCTAAAGAAAATCTGGTAATCATAGCATTCGTATAACAGCTAGATCCATTTAAACGGGCTTAGAGAAGCCCTCGTACCACCGCCCCCGCCCCCCGCGTTTCCCTACGCTGTTAAATCCAGCGGCGCGGGCTCTGCTCTTCACCAATCCTTATGTTAGCAATTAAGAGCCGTCTGATACCACAAAAACTCACTGTATTACCACTGATGAAAGTTTCTTTTAAAACTGTCTTTTTTTTTCAACCACTAAAAATCCAAATAATACTATTGAGAAGCTTTCATCACTTTTTAGCATTCTAATTCAGGAAGTCTAAAACGGAGAATCGTAATGCGTGACTAACGGTGCAACTCTGAAACCACCCGACTTGAATGCACTAATACAATACTTGAATGATATATAAAAGTTTCTTTAACCATATAGCAGCGAGAATCTTACAAAAACTAGTTAAAACGTGTATGTTTTTTGTACTTACCAATTTAATTCCATTGTTAAGATTCTGAACTCTCGTCTTTGGAATCTTCTAAACTCCTAACCTCCTCTCGTTTTTCCTCCTTCGAATCCTCTTCGGCTTGCAGAGTTTTCTCAATTTTTTCAAGGTCATCCTCTTCTTCTCGACCAAAGCGCCCCTGTTCTTTATCGTCCGCAATTTTTTCACGACCAAAGCGTCCTTGTAAATCTTCTTCTCGCCCAAATCGTCCTTGGAAATTGCGTCCAAAACGGCCTTGCTCGTCCTCCTCCTCACGACCAAATCGGCCTTGTAATTCATCACGACCAAAACGACCCTGGAAATCACGACCAAACCGACCTTGCATGTCATCTTCTCGCCCAAATCGACCTTGCATATTTTCTTCTCGCCCAAAGCGTCCTTGCATATTCTCACGACCGAAGCGCCCTTGAAAATTTCTCCCAAACCTGCCTTGAAAATTTCTCCCAAAACGACCAGGAACTAAGGCTCGTAGCTGGTGCTCTCGGTCCCCTCGGCTGAAACGGCCAAACCAGTATTGTGGCTCCCGTTTTTCCTCCATATTATCAGAGAAACGCCCTCTCCAGTACTGTGCGTCACTAAATCGACCCCTCCAGTATTGTGGGTCCGCAGATAAGCGGCCTCTCCAATACTGAGCATCGTTTAAAGCTTCTTTGTTATCAGATAATCGCCCTCTCCAATACTGTGGATCGCTCACTGATCTCTCAAATTTGGCGTCAGTAAACTCGGGAAGACTATCACTGTCATCACTACTTTCCTTTTTCTCCTCAAGTGGTTTTGCACTGATAACTAGAAGGTGGCAGCAAAGAACAACTGCAATCCACGCAGACATTTTTCGCCCGCTAAAAATTAGGAAATGAAAAACTAATAAGTACATTAAGCTTCTTGTATGTCTTCTTTAGCGACTTATTTGCTTATGTCCTTGGTCGACGCTGGTATAAACTTAATTGAGATATTTCAACTCAAAGAGTATTACGATGCTAAGGTGCTACCTTGGACTAAGCGTTAAATTTATTTCAGTTTTAAACATAACATTCTGCAAACTAAAGTTTTCTGTAGACAACATTCAACGTGTTTCACATTGGGATAATAATAATAATTTGTAGTGGTTTGGCGATGAGTCACATAAGAAAATTTGACTATTTTTGAAACAAAAATATACTAATCGGAAGCATAATTTTTCAGAAGAAGATTTCCTTTTTTTTCCTTGAACATGGTAGTTGCTTTAATTAGTTTTTTTCTAACAATTTGAAAAATCTCGCTCGTTTAGTGCCAATGACATGAAACTTCAGAGTGGCGTAAATCGCTATCCTTGTTTTAAGCCGGCGGGAGATGATAGTACATTCACAGTACTATATGAAATAAAACGACATCTGGTGTGAACCTTAAAGGCCCCTCAAGATAGCCGTGTGATGCTTATTGTCATATAAAATGTAATTTTCTTGTTAGCCACGCCGTGATCCAAAACAATTTCTTTTATTTCAGAAAATTCTTTACTGTAATAACGTTTTAGCGGCCAAAAAGAAGACTTCGCGGCAGAAAACTTTCAATATCGACACTTTTACGTCCATTTGCGTAAAGATCGCTGCCTAAGTTGTTTTAAGCCAGGGTGTGGTGAGACTAACAAGTTAAATTACAGTGAGACGTCTACCCATTTTCTAACATCAAAAAGGTCCATAAATTAAAAGAATTGTGCTTCTTCTATTATCGGGTAAACGAAAACCAGATGCCCAATCACCCAAACATTAATATTTTATAAAGAAAACTAAACAATTTCTAGAATGCTCGAGCTAATTTCTGATGAGAAAACTAATTTACACCATTTTTCGTCAAAAAGTATGCTTACTATCAGTTAAACTTGACTTTCTAAAAGGAAGGAAATTTCTTTACTTTGGTGGTTTGATGGTAAATTCAACAGAAATATTTCTTTGCTCAACACTGATAATCCAAAAAAACAAAAATTGCGCAAAATCGTTTTTGTCAACTGTGTTATGATGCATCTAAAGATTTCGCTCTGAACGATTTTAAAGTGAGCTTGAAATTGAAAAGATTTCTTCAAAAAAGAACGTTTGTAAACTTTGGTTAAAGCTTGATCACTGAGTTTGTAATTAACACTTCCGCGCCATCGAAATTAAGTTTTCGAAAAAGATCCGTTTTGTGCATCCGTTAGGTTGCATGTTTGGTAATTCAGCGGTGCTCAATCTGTTGCTTCAAGTAACCTTAACTACTCAAGAAACTGAACTCAAACAAAAAGTGCGCACGGTCTGTTTTTTTATGTATTGTTCAGAGATATCAGGATACTCTGTTTTTTTAAGTTTTCCTTCACTTAAACTAAAAACAGCCGCTATCTTCGTCATGGGTAAAAAATCCGCTAAAAGTTAGTGTTAATCGGTTGGAACATGCTCCGAGGATTTTAAGTAGGCGAAAAAAGAAACGCTATCTCGCGTTTTGTCGGAAAGTTCTCTAAATATCGCTTAAAACAGCTTATAGCTTTTTTGCTAAGAATTATTCACAATGTTATTCAGTGGCAAAGATAAAATATTGCAAATAGCGGAAAGAAATAAAAAAGCCATGCCAAAGGTCTCAAGTTAGCCATTTCGTTTTCATTTTTTCTAGCGGTGAAAAAACTGTGCCCTTTTCAATTCAATCCGCGTTCTCTTTGAGTACAACAGCTTACCCTTAACTAAAACAACTCACGTTATTGAAAGATGTCACTTTGTTACTTCTACTGCGTTTTGAGAGCCGGTATCGCTAAACTTACCGAAAAAAGTATTTCCACGGAAAAATTCCAATCCAAGAAATCAGCCCACTGTATTCTGGTCGTGGTCGTGTTTACAGTTCTTCTGTCTCACGGTCCTTTGCCAGACCGCAATATATTTTTCCCAGCCAACGTCGCCTTTTGTGTGAATTAAAATCAGTTCCGGCCTGTGTTGTGATGCTTGTATCAATTAACTGTGGTCGTAATAATTGAAACAATAGCCGCCTGATTATTGAAATTAGCAGCTAAATCAGGCAATTAACCGAAATTGACGAGAATTGGCCGCTGAGGCGAGACCCAGCAGGTGGTTGAGATGGAAAGAGGATAAACATAGTGGATCGCCGATGTGGGGGCGACAAATATCTTAGGTAAACGCATTCAAAGAATTAACAATTATATATAACTTGCGTGAAAAAGTTAGATTCTCGAAAGATAGCGATTTGAAGGTAGACGAGAAGTACGTTCTTATGTTCTGGTATTTGCTGTTGTGTGTAAAAATGTCGTGAAATGATGAATGTTTATGTGACTTTTTTCCTACAAGGCAAACAATTAAATGACATCCACTTGCATTCAGTCATTGTTTTTATTTCTTCATTTGTTGAAAAAGGCGAACCTTAAAAGAGAAGTGTTTCGTGATGGCGACAAAGCTCCACATATTCTTGTTTGATCATACAGTTTCTAAATCCTAAGCGATTTTTTTAAAGATTCTTACAGCGGATATTAAATTCGTAATGCCTCAAACTGTGAACGCAAATTTAAAAACGTACGTTTTACAACCATTTGTACACAGCAGCCTAAATTGCTTTTTCTCTGCTGCTAGCATAAACTACAGATACTGGAAAACATCACAAGACGAAACCACAGTTTTCATTTGAGACCCGTGTTTGTTTCAAGGTGACTTTATTTGAGGTCAACAATCTATAGTTAAGAACGTCATCAACTCGACTCTTTTTTTGGTGGATTTTTTCGCCCAATGGGGGGCAGGTCTTCATTTCTTTTACCTAATAACTAATCTTCAATGGGACGCACGACGAATTTGAAATCATTTGACTGATTTTCATTGGCAGTTTCACTTCGCCTAAAACAGCGTTGGCACTTACGTAAAATATTCTTAGAATAGGAGTGGGCGTGCGCGCATGCGCTGAGACTTCACTGAAAATTAAATCAATTTGTCTCACATTGCTAACAAGTTTATCATTCCACTGCGTTTATATAGTTTGAGTTCCCTCAATGATAGCGCACATCTATCCAAAGTACTGATCATAGACTAAAATGTCCATATAGCGGTACGTTAATAATTTTATTAACCCAATGAAACTGATATCCGTGCGCCAGCTATTAATCCTCTTCAGTGAAATAAGCTCTCGCGTACATTGTAATTGAATCAGTTTGGAACACGCCGCTTTCACCCTTTTCTAAACAAATTAATGAAAAGCGATCCTAAGGTGCCAGAGGCTTTTTTAGGATTTTTCATTATTACTTATCGCTTTGTTCTTCATTTAACATTCCCAATATTAATCCAAATCACTCAAAGAAAGCTCAAAATAATTCCTGAGTTCATAATTTCGTCTTTGCCTTGTTTTCATGAACACAAAGCAACTCCGGTTTTCACAAGTGCAATATTCACCTGCCTACGGGGCGACAGTTGCATCATTCAAGTAATAAATACCAAGTGTTTTATTCAATTTCCACAGTGCAATTTTGAATCTCAATAAAATAATTTGACTTTTTTATTGCTGAACACGCAGTTAAAAACGGTTTCTAATTAAAAACAGCGTGGAGCATATTTCACTAACAGAAACAACCACTTTTCAAAATATCTTCAAAGAGAGATTTTTTAAGCACTAGACGCCGGTGTTAAACGGCGGACCTGAAGTCATCTGCAATAATTTCCTATAGCTTCCTTTCTTCCTTCATTCACTAGTAACTCACTTGTAATTCCGATAAAAAATTGCCTTTTATCTCGATGCTAGATAACTGATCTAACCATGACAAAAAAATCAAATCCCGAAAAAGGGAAAAATGAAATAGTAAACAGATATCACCCAATAAATAATTTTTTATTATTTCAAACAACAGAATTACATTATTTGTAAATTTTACTCCCTCCTCAAGTGCAAAACAACTTTCTAATTTTAATTTCCTGTAGTAATAATTATAAGAAAGTGTTGTTTACGAAGTGATTTCCTTTAAGTTCGTCGTTTACCGGAAAACACTTTACAGAGACAAATGTCCCCCTTGATAATACACTCGACATGTACAACCCAGCAGCGATAAATTGAAGAACAAACTGGAAGACGAAACTTCGCGGGTCTTGATAGTTTACTTTAAAAAATGTCAGGGAAAGAAAATAATGTCTATTAAACGACAT